TATATATATATATATATATGTATATTTATAAACATATATATGTATAAATATATATATATATATATATGAAGAAAAGTAGGTAAATATCCAGAAATAAAAGCCAGGTCTTGGATGTTACCAGTTGGCTCTTGAGATCTTGTGAACACATTTAAATGCAGGGCTAAAACTAGCAGTGGCCTACCGTCCCTCATTAGGAACACTGGATAGGCTGCCGAGTCAGACGAAACAAAAGCTGAGAAGCTCTCCGAATACTTTTGTGATGTTTTCTTGCCTAATCGTACCACTCAGGGGTGTGGCGAGGTCACCGATGTAGCCACTAAAATCCCCACAGTTGTAGTAGAGGATGCAGTGGTTTTCAAGCTACTGTCTAAGCTGAAGCCAGGTAAATCACCTGGACCAGACGGACTTCACCCTAAACTGTTAATTTCCTTGGCGGATATAATATATATTCCGCTTGCGGAGATTTTCCAAATGTCACTGACCCAGGCTAAGCTACCCAGGCACTGGAAAGATGCCATTATAAGCCCTATATTCAAAGAGGGGGACAGGCAATTGGTATCTAACTACAGGCCGGTAAGTCTGACATGCATTATAGCAAAGGTAATGGAAACTATTATAAGGGATCACCTATTAGCTTATGTTGAAACACATGGCTTACTGGCAGTGGAACAGCATGGATTCCGACCAGGACGACCCTGCTTGACAAACTTACTGTTAGCTAGGGAATAATTGGTCGAGGCCAGAGATAAAAACCTTCTGTTGGACGTGGTTTTTATTGATCTTAGCAAGGCATTCGACAAAGTATCCCACTTAGGTCTCCTTAGTAAACTTAAAGGTTTCGGACTAGACCAATGCCTATGTGAGTGGTTTAGGGATTACCTAATGGATAGAAGGCAGAAGGTTAGAGTTAACGGTGTACTATCAGGGTGGAAAGCAGTATCCAGTGGAGTGCCTCAGGGAACTGTATTAGGCCCCTTGCTATTCCTATTATATGTTAATGAGCTACCAGGGATTCTTACTTCATCTTCATTATTATTTGCAGACGACATTAAGATATGGAAAGCCGTAAATAATAGCGATGATAAGATGGTACTACAAAACGATCTATATAAATTAACCGAATGGGCTAACCTTTGGAGTCTGGGAATTAATTCCAAGAAAGGCGCGGTAATGCACCTATGTGAGAAGTCTCACACGTCGTACTCCATGGGGGACTCAGAACTGCCAGATATTAGGAGACAAAAGGACTAAGGGATTATTGTAAGCCATGACTTAAAACAACGGCGAATTGTAATCGAGCCGCAGCTAAGGCTTTTCGAATGCTATGGGCACTTCGAAGGGCTTTCAAACGATTAGATGAGGGTATGTTCCAAGTACTCCATGCAACATATGTCAGGCCTCATCTAGAATACTGCGTACAAGCGGCGGGTCCATGCTTCAAAAAGGAGGCATATATCCTGGAAAGAGTACAGAGAGTAGGAACGAAATTAGTGGTATCTCACACCTTCCTTATGATAAGAGGATGGAGCATTTAAATCTCTTTCCGTTATCATACCGAAGGAAGAGAGGTGACTTAATTTTGGCTCACCGTATATGGAAGGGTGATTTAGGGATTGACCTTTCAAACCTTTTATCTTCCTCTAGGATACATTTACGGCGTCACGACAAGAAGGTGCTCAAACCGAGGTTTAATAAAATGCGTGTGGAGTTTATATTTTCTCACAGAGTGGTCAACGACTGGAACTCCTTACCTGATTCAGTAGTAACAGCTCCATCGGTGAACGCTTTCAAAGAGAAGTTAGATCTCTGCAGAGATATATTTTGCAAGGATTAACACAGGCCACAAGAGCCTTCTATCCTTATAATCTGAATCTGAACATTTATCTGTAATAATTGTTAAAGCGTTCAGTAATACAATATGTAAAATTTGAATGTATAAAGTGTTTGATTAATGCTGGCTTCCTCAGTATATCATAGAATCTATAATTGACTGTTACGTCGTAGACATTTTTAACTGGCCATTTAGCGTCACTGAATAGTTCCATCGTCGTTCGTTCACTATTATATGCGTAGAATTTGAAAGCTATATGCACAGGTGAATGTCTTCCTGTGGTGATTTTATAGCATCTACCTGTTCTGCCTCTAGTGGTAAATAAAAATGTTTATTTTACACTTTTATGTTTTTGGAAATGGGTTCACATTTCATAATTGTCTTAGTGTATAGAAGCATGTACTAAGTTCTTTTCATGTACCCCCGAAATATATACAAAATTTATTCTTTACTAATATCATTTACTTATTTACCTGAAAAATCTACATACACGTTTAGATGCTGATGACGCCTATAAACTTGGTCGTCTGATGTTGGTTTCGTTGTAACAGCTTTCGACTGATTGTAACCTGCTGGTGCACTATCTATAAAATCGCCTTTTTAGTAAAGTGAATAGCTATACTGTTTTTTTATTACTACAACGCAATAACATATCAAATCCTTCCTGCACATATAGTTAGAAAAGGCTCTTGTCAAAAATCGAATTCAATTGGAAAGGTTTAAGAACAATATCTACTTCACACTTGATGTTCTCTCATAGCATTGTACTAATTTTCACGAAATTCGTCATACTTTTATTGAAAGAACCATTCACCAATCGAAATTTCTTATTGCCAAAATTAAACGTTTCTTAACTTTTAACGCGTTCCATATTTACTATTTATTGAAATTTCTTTTATATAAAACACTTTCATCCTGTGACAATAATTTTGCTCAAGCTCCATAAGTAGAGCTAAGACATCTCACTCCACTAGATATTAAATATTTGAACAAGCTAAGACTACAATTTCGTATAATTTGTATACAGTGTATTAGAATGCTTGAAATTGTAGGAGACGGAACTGTATTAGTTCAATAATACCTTCTCATTTTGCTACAAACCATGTTTTACCAAAAGAAATGTAAGAAATTGATGTAACTGTTGTTGAGTACTGACAACCACTGTTACATCAAAATTTAACTTATTCCGGCTGACATCCGTTACCTTGATGTAGGGATCAAGCTTGCATGTCGCAGTGATCCAAAGAGCCACACTAGCTGGAACTAATGTCCCTGCAAGTCCTGACATACCAGTCAGACTGAACGCAGTTACCGTCATAGTGTAAGTTGTTCACACTATTTTGGGAACAGAATCTGTGGGTAAAGTCGTACTGCTGTCTAATGTGGATGTAATGACAACAAAGTGTTTCCCTCAGACTTCCAGTATGCTGACTTGTGGTCGGGTAACACCAATGCTGTTTCTGTTTCAGGTTTCCCAAGAGGAAATCAACTTCAATAGTGTGAGCAGCAGGATAGTAACAACCGCTCACATACTTTCCAAAGCACACAAAGCTTTCCTAATCTTAGGGAATAAAAAGACAGTTGCAGCGAAGAAAATTTTCTTTTCGACGAAGTCATCATCTAGGCTGTACATTCGTGTATTTATATCAAATGGATGGGAAAGTTCCAGAACAATTTCTGGTTAGGGGTTGAATTAATAAAAATTACAATTAGGAATTAGAATGCCATAATAAACAGGGGGATGGGTAAAACTAAAACAAAGTAGCATAATACCTAAGAAAATTGACATTGTGCAATTGAGGGTTAGAAATGTAAAAATAACAAAATATACAGGATGTTTGGATAAGAAACTAGTGTGATGAATAATTGTTTATGCAATCAGGGATTAAATATGTAGAAATAATAAAATGACAAAATAAACAGGAAGTGTGGATATGAAAATATGGTAGTGTAGACAGGGATTAAGAAAGCTTAAAATAACATGAATAAACAGGAAGTTTAGATAAGAAAGGCGATGGGATGGTCATTATTAAAAAATTTACCTGTTTACGATGGCCATGGCAGGGACAGGGGTTGAATGTATTTCTTTTGGATACAAAGGGTGGGTTTGAGTTTTTGGATAGCTAACGCCTTTCCTAATCTGTCGAACTGTAGGTAGAATTTCTTTTTTCTTTTCCTTCACGTTCCCCATTGGAACATAGGGCTCCAAGCTAGTGGCTTGAAGTTTCCGTACCAGTGTTTATTTTACAGGATGGGGTTGCTAGCCTCATGCCCAACCTTTCCTCTTTACCAGCATTATTTATGGTTCAACGAGGTAAGGGAGTGCGTCGGCCGGGAATCGAACCCCGGACCATGTGCATGGTCGGCGGGCGTCCTAACCGCTATACCACCGACGCACGTAGGTAGAATACGTATTCCAATAACTTTCCGTTATAATCTACAACTTCATCAATTGATATCTAGAGGTGTGTTGAGAAACATACATCTTTTTTCAGCTTGTTACCAACAATTACTCCCAAAAATTTGATTTATATTACTTCAGCGGAAAATGGATTTGAAATGTAGTTGTCTTACATAATTTAATGTTGGCACAACCAATGGTTTTGAAGTTTTAAAATGTCAAGAGTATTTACCGACTGTAGGGATTAACTCTTACCTACATTCTGCTATAGACAGGTATTATCAACATAGGGCCAGGTGGTAATTACGACATTACACATTGGCTTATCAAATAGGAAGTGACAAGTTTATAAATGAGGATATAACCTCAAGATGAAATTGATGACAAAGTGCAACAGAAATGCATAACTAATGCCCTATGTTCCAATGGGAACTTAAGGAGTGTATAATAACGCATAAGTACCAGTCATCCTGCATACACTAGGCATACTTTTGCTTCTAACCTTTTGAATCTACGCTTTCTCTCGTGGTCCTCTCCATCTTACCTTGTCATAAATATTTTCACTAACGGGTCACTGTGTCTTTGTACATTTTATCTTTTCGATGTAACATTTTAAATAACAAGCATCAAAATTACATTAGTGCAACTCAAAAATACCTTTACACTTCACAAAGATACACCTTTTTCTAAATTTGTAAGTTTTGTTTCCTGTATCATGATTCTATGGTAAAATTAATAACAATCATTGTTTATTTATTTTTCTCTCAGATGCTCTGCTAATGACTGAATATTTGATAACCAATGTCTCAATCATCTAACTCCATGAAATGCCTTGCAATTATATTTTCTCGACATGTACAACCTTCACGCTTTGCATTGAATGTCTTAGATTTGTTTATTTCGTTTAAACATATCAACATCATGAATCAAAGAAATTCATGGCTTTGCCAAGCTATCCAAAACTGTTACCTTCTTGGTCATGTAGAACCATATCTATTGTTGATTGGTGGGTCAACTGTACATTTACAAACCATAAAATTATCTTGGAATAGAGGTCAATTGAAATCTCCTTTCGGTTTCTCAATCAGTTCAGTCTGTATGTTTTCATACTTTTACCAAAATTAATATTGTTTCCTATTAATATGGGTAATTTCAAGTAGTGTTAACAAAGACTATATTGCCTCAAGCTATTGTATTTACAGCTTTCATCAGTTGCACTGCTTATAGAGTTACCTTAAGGATTTGAAAATAATTATGCTACTTAATTCATTCCCTTAGTTTATATATATATATATATATAATGGAGCTTGGTCAGTGTGGTAGTATGCAATTCCATATTACCTTGTTTATTGGATATATCACACAGTGCAACAGTTTCATTTACTAGATTGCACTTTGAACATAATTTATTGTTCAAAATCATATCATCAGTTGTAACTATACAACTTAGAAACTTGCGTTTTATAATTTTTTTCACTACTCCCTACTCATCGTACAGGTAGTAGGATTCTCCAAATTTGCTGAATAATACTCATCATTACACCTGATTTTCTATATGACTGGTTTTTATGGGTGTTCACGTGGAGTTCAAGTGTCAACTACAGTTTAGGCGAAAAACTGTATGAGTAGTGAAAAATATCAAAAATTCCATCCTATAATGTTTTCTTTATTATCTTCCAAACACTGAAGTATGAAATGTTATTATTTATAACCATTGTAATTTCAGGTAGTTTGCAGCTGATGAGGACCTGTGAAATAGAATGATATCATTTTATACTGCAAATCTGGTCTTTCTTTCTCTATCGAAAAATATCAAACACTGAGAAAAAAAGCTCTAAGGTATTCAAGCGGAAACCAACAATTTAGCAGAAGAAGTAGCGAAGAACATAGAGGATACAGACGTGACGAAGGTATCTAATAATCATCATCAACAACAACATCAAGCACTAATCAGTATCAGTGTTTGAAATCTAAAGGAAGTTATCTCTTTCACTTATCTAGACAGCACTGTTTCAACTACAGGTGGATTAGATGAAGATGTCGAAACCATTCAGGATTGGAAGGGCAAGACAAACCTTCAATAATCTGGAAGTCCACTGTATTAAGCATAAATAACATAATTCAGATTTTCAGCACTTATGTCTTCAGCCAGTTCTTTTATATGGGTCAGAAACTTGACGTGTGCATCTTGAAAAGCAGTACAAACAGGCTTCAGGCTTTCATCAACAACTGTCTTCGCTGGCTCATTATTGGAGATGGGGTTACCGAACAGAAAAGCTAAGCAATACGGGACTCTGGAAACAAACCAACGAACAACCTATTGCTCAAAAAATATGCCGAAGAAAATGCAGTAGGATAGGACAAACTAAGGAGATCACTGAGTAACATCATCATGCTCGAGGCCGTTGCTCTAGTGGAACCCGAATGGGAAACGGCTGTTTAGGCGTCGGAGGATGACATGGAGGAGATCGTGTGGGGAGGAGATGAAAGCTTATGAACAATTTTGGAGTCAGCTAAAGAGGACTTCAGAGAACAGGATAAAATAGAAACATGGTTTTGAAGCCCTGTGTTCAATTGTGAACCCAAGGGAATACTAATAGTAATAATTCATTGTCAAAATCCTCGAGTTCATACTTCCTGGGGTTGTAATACGTAGTATCTAATTTTTGATAAAGTGTTGAGAGGTAAGTATTAGCCACTTGTTATCACTTCTTGTCAAAGAAATTTAACCGAAACTGTATAAGGCAGTGTGATGAAAACTTTAAACTTATCAACACATCGGCTTTCAAATAGAATAAAAGCTTTTGTGACAGATTTTGAACACAAACAAGCAGATTTAAACCTTTTTAAGTAGATTTCACTATTCGTAAGAATTCCAGCGTGTTTACTATAATGGTCTGTTTGTGTATGTAGTTGCCCTACTGAAAGACGCGTATCAAATCTTACCTACTGTTTCTATCCAATAAAGCAAACCTATTTAGCTGAACAATTCTAAAAATAGCTTCTTTTGACTCCTATACGATCTATGTATGTATATGTATTTTATTGAAATAAGGTTTGTGAGGAGACTCACTGAAAGAGGACCTCATTTGCACTGGACGAGACTTTTAATAGGTCAGGAGTAAGTATTTCGACTGGTGACCACCTATGATTCTTTCCCATTTGGCGGTAAAAGTCATCAGTTCCCGAAAACTTACTGTTAAAGGAATGACCAAAAGGAAACATAACTCACTTACGCGGAAGAGATTTCTCGTTTGCCATGCTATAAGCAACATTAATTGCATGGGGGTCGATGATACTACCAAGTTTCCTCCTGGGTGTTGAAGTAGGTGGAGCGGGATTCGAAACTGGAATCAACTGACTAGAAGTTGAGTGCCTAAACCGATGAGCCACATTTTCACGCTTATTGTTAATAGAAATTCCTAAAGTTCACACTCTAAATTTCACATTGATGAAATTGTTTAACGATATGCTTAAAGCAATTTACTGTTGAACATTATTATCCAAGGGTATTATAGTTTGTATTTCGCAAGTTTCTCCAATCTCCTGATTTAAGGCATTTCGAAAGCAGAAGAAGTGAGCGAAGAAATTAGATCCTCATCTCTGGCTCCACTCTAATATATGTTGTTTTTTTCCTTCACGTTCCCCAGTGGAACATAGGGCTTCAAGCTAGTGCCTTGAAGTTTCTGTAGCAGTGTTTACTTTACAGGATGGGGTTGCTAGCCTCATTCCCGACCTTTCCTCTTCACCAGCATTATTTCTGGCTTAGCTAGGTAAAGAAGTGCGTCGGCCGGGGATCGAACCGCGGGCCATGTGCATGGTCGGCGAGCGTCCTAACCGCTATGTCACCGACTCTAATATATGTAGCATTTTTTCATTACAGTACACAACAATTTACCAATCAAGTCGCATTTCATTGCAATGTCAAATTACTTGATTTGATTGTCATGCACGAAAAGTTATCATCCCTACATAGTAAATAACTGATGTGTGTGTGTGCACCACTCAGTACACTGTGTTCTTACCCCGTCTGTACAACACTATTTGTTTTTAAGTCTTCCAGTATACTTTTTCATCCATTTTTTCTCTTTTATAATATCCACCTGAAAAAATCTAACGTTGTCTTTTGTTATAACTACTTATAGCGGACGTCGGTACCTGGTTTTTAGAATCTTCACAGTTTAATGCTATGCGTTTAGAGGAAGTTATTTGCCAGTTAATCTGGCAAATTACTCAATCAGAACCCAGCTGTTCATTGGAACGTTTAATTAAGTCACTTGATAATGTATATTATGGTAGACGACTTCGGAAACCGGCTTTAGAAGAAATACATACTTCTCTGTCAGCACTAACTCAAGCTGGTGCAATTTACTTCAGTGGTAATTCATTATTCAGTTGTATATTTTTGACAGTCTATATTATTTGTTATATGATGATATTAGTACAATTTATGTAACACTTGTACTAATGTGGAATTAAATTTGTTCATTATCTTTTTTTTTGCAGCTTCGTTTTTCATTAATCCAGTTTTTAAAATAAAAACTGGAGAATAGGTACAGTGTTTATGCACTATTAACAATTTTTTTCGACAATCTAACAATATTGTCATTGTTTCGAGCCACCGATTTGTTTTTCAGGCTTCAGCAATGCATATAAATACTTGGACTATTTTAGTATGTTTGAAAATGTGAAAAAACAGTCGTGAGAGATTAAAAAACTTGAGTTGTTATAATTATCATTATTATTACACACATTTCTGTTACAAAATTGAAGGAAATTCATTTTCGCTTGTATTATGTCTCGACCACTAGCGACTAGTATGAAATTGTTATTATTCCCTTGGGTTCTGAGTGGAAAATAGGGCTTCAACAACTTATATCCACTTTGCTCTGTTTTCTGCCCTCCTCTTCAGCTGGGTCCACGATTGACCAAACTCTCTCATCTCTTCCTCACACTATCTCCTCCATGTCACCCTCGCACTGACAACCCACTCTTCACTTCCAATTTGTATTCCACTCGAGTTATGGCCTGGCGCTGTGTCATTCGACGGCTTCCTCAACGTATGTCCGATCCATCTCCACTTTCTCCTACATATTTGTTGAGCAATCGGCTCTTGGTTGGTTTGTTCCCACAGTTTCTTGTCACTAATTCTTTCTGACTGTTAAATCTTCAGTATGGAGCCAGCGAATTCGGTAGCTGTTGATGAAAGTCTGCAACAAGCTGTTGGAAATCCTTTTCGTGATACACTGGCCAAGTTCCTGACCCGTATAGAAAGGAACGATTTGACATTGGTGTTGAAAATCCGGATCTTGTTTCTTATGCTGAGTACAGTGCAGAAGATTTCCAAACGGGTTTCAGGTTGATAAAGGTGAAGCCTGCCTTTCCTATTCTGACTTTGACATCTTCATCCCTTCCGCCTGTAGTTGAAACGATGCTTCCCAGATAAGTGGATGCAATCTCTGTTAAATCTTTCCCGTTGATGGTGATTGGTGCTGGTTGTTGTTGTTGCTGTTGGTGATGGTTAGTTATGTTCATCACCTCCGTCTTATCTATGTCCAACTGCAGTCCTGAGTTTGCTGCCTATTCAGCCAGTTTGTTGGTTTTCGCTTGCAAGTCTTCGAGTTTATGTGGCATTAGACATATATCATCTGCGAAACCCAGATCTTCTAGAGTCTCCTTATCGGTGGTCCAGCGTATTCCTGACTCCTTGCCCCCAACAGTCTGACGCATAATCCAGTCCACCACCATTAGGAATATTATCTATGCTAATAGGCAGTCTTGTCTTATTCCTGAATGCACTTCGAACGTCCCGCTGAGTTTTCCGTTGTGGATAACTTGATACGTGGCATTGTCATATAGCTATGGTTACTTGAGGTTGATAAAGACTTGGGCACTGCACGTCGTAATGTTGAGGTAGTTTCCAAATTACTCCGTGGTCAACGCTGTCTGTCGAAGGCCTTTTAGAAGTCGATGAAATTGAGGCAGAGGTTTGACTGCCAATCTGTGCTTTGTTCGATTAGGATGCGTAGAGCTGTAATTTGATCAGCACATAATTTGTGGTGAGAGCTGTCTACTAGCCAATTGGTTGACAGTAATTGAGGTCAATGTTTATGTATCAAATATTAGTCATGTTGTGGTGAGAGATGGTTGCTAGCCAAATTGGTTGACAGTAATCGAGGTCAAAGGTCAAGATGGACAGGCGGATACAGTTAACATATAGATGAACTGACACAGCCACAAGAGATGCAAGGTTAACTTTGTGTGAGAAACAACCAATCAACAGACTGTATTTTCTACTAACATTAACCTACAATAATGTACATCAAAATCTACAAATACGTGTTGATTTTCCGTAATAAACGTTCTGTTGCCTGGCCCTTGTCTTCTGTTGTTACAATTTACCTTTTCCCCGAATCCAGCTTGTTTCAGTTGGGCTGATTTCTGTATCCAGTGCATCCTTTATTCTCTCCAGGATGATGCGATTCAGTATTTTACTTGGCGTGGACAAGAGCATTATTCCGCTCCAGCTCTTGCACAGGCCTAAGTCGCCCTTCTTTGGCAGTTTAACGAGGTAGCCCTTCCTCCAATCAGTAGGCACCTTTCCATTTTTCCTAACGTTTTGCAGTAGTGGAGTGAGAACATCTGCCGTAATCGCTGGGGCCGTCTTTAGTGCTTCGGGAGGAATGCCGTTTGGTCCTGCTGCCTTCCCGTACTTCAGTAGCTTGACCGCATTCAGGGTTTCTTCTTTCGTTGTAGGAGCGGTGTCCACTGGCATTTCCGTGTGTTGTTGGTGGTATTTCTGGGTGAGTTGCTGATGGTGGTCAATTCAAGAGTCCTATAAAGTTGTCAGTCCATTGTTGGATTTGTTTCTCCTCCTTGGTAATTAGGTCCCCCTGAGTATCTTTATCGGTTTCATCATCTGGGTTGATCTCTTCGCGGACAGAGGCTTGGTTATCTGATTTAGTGTCCTGATGTCTCTTTTGCTTGTGGCCTGTTCTGCCTCACTTGCCAGTGTGTCGTAGAATTGTCGTTTGTCTTTTCTAGCACTCCTCTTCATTTCTTTCCTTATTCAGTGCAGTGTGCATTGCTATGAACTCAACTTCTCCTTCTGTTGTCCATATTTGCATTGAGTCATCTTCTCTTTCTCCATCCTCCGTTGCCAGCCATTCCTTGTCTTGTCTCTTCCCTCTTCCTAGAACAGTTGTTCACGTTTCCTTGAACATCGCTTTCAGAGAGTTCCAATGTTCTTCCACACAGGTTTCCCCAGTGATGCCACGTAGTGTGTCCGACTTCGCTCTGATCAGATATATATTGAGGTATCCCTTGTGGTTTTGTCCTTCAGTTTCTGAATGTTGAACATGCATTATAGTGGTCTGTCTCCAGTTGTTTTCATGGATTTCAGCTTCACCTTGAAGGTTCCTTGAACTAGATTGTGGTCTGAGACCACGTCTGCTCCCCTTCCCGACTTTCTATCCAGCAGGCAGGCTACGTCTCCACTTCTTTGAGATTGACTTGAAATATCTCTGGTTTGTGGTATGTGTGTCAGGCAAAATCCATGTTGCTTTGTGCATATCCTTATGTATGTAGACACTCCCTCCGATCACTAAATCTTTGAAAGAGCAGTAGTCTGCAAATAATTCCCCGTTCTCATTTATGTCTCAGAGCCAGAGTCTCTCGACCCATGATGAGTTCTCTTCCTGTATTATCAGGTCCCAGTTTGGCATTCATATCACCCATAAGGATTTTGATGTGACTATTTGCGATGTTGCCCACTACTCTTTGTAGTTGTCTGTTACCTTCCTTCTTTTTGAGTCCATAAGACTATTCCCTGGTAACGAGTCGATTCCTAAGTCGTTAAGTTCATATGATGATGAAGTTAAACAGAAATGGGGAAAGTGGACATCCTTGACGGACACCACTGGTTGTTATCAATTCAGATGACAATTCCCCATAAGCCCTTACACGGCTACGTGAGTTTGAGTAGAGTGCCTTGATTAGTGCAAAGTACTTTCTTGGCACTCCCTTCACAGACATTGCCATAGTACCTCTCGATCCACGGAGTCGAAGGCCGCCTTCAAGTCAAGAAATATGGTAATTGTTGGACGCCTGAAAGTGTGTCTATGTTCTAGGATCTGTCGGAGAGTGAAGATATGATCTTATTTTTAATATATTTTCTGTGTGTTGAAGTTTCTCTAGTGGTTTGAAATATTTAGTGGCGTGGTGTTGCTATCCTCACACCCAACCCTCCCTCTTCACCCGGGCTTGGGATCGGCTAGAAAACTAGCGAGCTAGTTAACTAGGTGAGGTTACAAGTATGAAATGCTTGTTATAATTTAGTATTTTTTCAAGTTAACAAAATAAAACCACTTTCTACAATAAATTAAATGCTACCTAATGCATTTTCAGAACTTCTAACATTTTCAGTCATCTTTGCGAGAGTATGTACTACTGATTGGTTAAGATGAGCCAGCACTATGATATCCCTCTGACATGCCTCTTTCAAGAGATTGCTCAGTTGGTAGTATAACTCATCCTTAATTGGATCCGGACTGCGATCCGTCGGTGCATAGGCAGAGTCAACAAATAGACACCGCCTATCTGGCCTACCACTCCTATTTTCGTATCACCTTCCAGCCTCACAGCACATAAATGACTGTTAATGGGGATGCAGTCGAGTCCAGCTACGCCGGATGTCGACGCCACAGGGTCCCCGGACAAGCGCAGGTTGTACATACTACTAGAACTTTCAGATGGAGAGGATAATCGAAGTACTTCACTGGGATCTTGAATGCAGGTCTCCAAAATGCAGCAGACATCGATAGCGAGGTTTTCCAATGTTCTTACCAACCCTGCCTGTTGTCCGATCTACATCAGTGTCCGAACATTGTAGGTGGCACGAGGCTTCAGGATATCTGTGTTAGGTGTCGCATTGGGGACAACCACTTTGAAGGCTATTCACTAGCAACTCGAAACAGCACAGATAGGCTGGGAATTTGGACAAAGGCGAAAGGCTGTCGAAGGTAAAGATGTCAAGGTTAGCAAAAGTAAAATACCGGACCCTATGTATAAAAATAAAAATAAGGTTGGAAAGAGATGTGTTACTTGCAACATCATTATTGCTTGATTGCACTGTTACGAGCGCACGATAAGTTTCACTGTTAGTTTGTTGCTTCATTTCATTTAGTGTGTGAGGTCTGAGATACTGCCCGAGCGCCCAGACCGAAGCAAGTGGCTTTCTTAAGGGACCACCCGCCGAGCCTTTGACTTGGAGTCTAATCCGCAAGGCAGCGTCAGGAGCTACGTTCCGATGGTTGCCGGTAACCCATATAGGTTCATACGCCACTTGATCCGATTGGGTTCTGGAGCCCATGTACCCCATAGTAACTGATTTTAGTCTAACCGCTATCCAAACAACCTTCCTGACATGGCAGGACCTGCAGGAACATGAGTCCCAGCCAGTTTAGCTTGTTGGGTCACTGCGGTATTCAAGCCCGACCACCACTACAAGGTAGCAGTTGTCGGCCGGGAATTAGGAACCGCAATAATCTCAATATGAAACTGAAGTAGGAACAACAGTTTCATGTTTCAACGTCTAAATAAATATACTAATTTCTGTGGACTGTTTACTTCAACGGGATAGTCATCGAAGTTGTTGGTTGAGAATAGCACTATATCACGAAGTGGCAAAAGTTAGAATTCACAGTTCATTGAATTCTGGCTAAAATGGCTGAATGCTCATCGAGCTTAGTCTCTTAATCAGAAGGTCCCGGGTTCAACCCCTGGTTGGGCAGTGGGTGCGCACTATTGAAGAGTTTTAAAGCAGCTGTCCACTGTTCCCTGGTGGTTTTCACTGATCTGTTCAACTAATGTTGGCTCTTGATGAAATCTAACATTCCAATTTGGAACTGATGTTTTCATTGGAAATGAAAGAAACATACACTGTTAGTAGTAAGAAGAATATTTCCCATAAGGTCCTCACTACGCAGAACAATAATAAGCAGAAATGTGAAGAAGAAGAAGAAAGAACAGTAACATGGAACAAACAATAGAGTTTAACGAATACTGGAGATCACAAAGAGTGAATGCATTTACACCATTAAGAACGATTATGATCTATGTCACTAATTGTCTCCAGCCATTGGTTCTTATCATCGCGACGACCCCAGCCAGGAAGTCTACACCTCCCTATGTGTCTGGCTCAAACCAACTGTTATGGATTTCATTGACTGATTCCAAGTTTTTGTTTGACCACCACTAGCTCTTTTCCAACCTGATCCTATGTCAACTGACACTGCCTATCGAGGAAGGTCATGGCTAGACATCTCAATCGACGTAACTTCACAACCCCATCGATTGATTTTCCCTCCCTACCTAACACTCAACACCTAATCTCAATATTACTGACCCTATTTTACTACCTGGCACGGAATATAGCGTCGTAAACCCTTATCACCTGATTCTCTGGGTGAATTCCTGATTTCGTAAAGCACACGGTTGAGTTACAGATGCAGTTGTCCTGAATGATTTCAAAATTTAGTTCTTAGCTTATGGCGATCGAATAACACTTAAGATTTACCTATATACGTTGTGAATATGTAGTGGTCTAAGAAGCCAAGGTTTTTGTGTGATAAAAGCATAGATTCATAATTAGTTTAAATGACTATTCATCACCAATATTAGTTTAGATTATACTTTGCTATAATCCTTATTTCTTATATAACCGAGTATGTTTCATGGAAGGCACATGCCAATAGTTCTGTAATTATTGTATGTAATTTGAATATATGTATTTTTCTGAAAAACACATGTCTGTTTATCACCTAGGTCGGGGCTATAACCTTCTAACACCGGAGAAGTTGGCAGTTGCAAAATGGCTTGAAAGCGTACCCGAAGTATGCCCAGATGCTGACAGTACCTTGGATACTCCAAATGTGAAAAAAGCGCCACTGGCAGAAACAGAAATACTTGGATCGAATGCTGCATCATCTACCCAGCGTTCAAATCTCATTCGAGATAAATATCAATTTCAGGCAAATAATAGGCATAAATTGGAGAATACTGAGAAACGTACAAGTTCCAGTGCCTTAATACCAGTTGTTGAAAATTTTGAACAGAATAACTTCTCTAAGTCTTTTACCACTCATTCGTTGAGTCCATATCAACATCAAAATAACTGTGTAAATCAGTATCATCGGATTGCATCCGTTTCACCTCTAACTAATTGTGTAAAATCTAATTCTAATTCTCAGTTCTCCTTTACTCATAAAACAGTTGGGATCAACAGTGACACTACGCAGAGATTTATCAATTCTGCAAGAGATATTTATACCAGCAAGAGAAATACAGTTGACGTAACTGGCTTTTCTCAGCCGCAAAGACATGAACCTGAATTAGAATTTCTTCACACCATTAATCAATCTGAAAATTTGTCAACAAAGTTCTCAAAATTTATCAAATCCCCTTTATTTAAAAAGTGTGAGCTAATTTTTTTTACCCCTGTTAAATATCTCCTTTTAAATTTTAGTGAATACGTATAAGTTGACACATAAAAGGAGAACAGGCTAGGAAGACCTTTTGCAATGATATCACTGCGAATAAATATATCTGGGAAGCATCGTTTCAACTACAGGCGGAAGGGATGAAGATGTCAAAGTCAGAATAGGAAAGGCAGGCTTCACCTTTATCAACCTGAAACCCGTTTGGAAATCTTCTGCACTGTACTCAGCATAAGGAACAAGATTCTGATTTTCAACACCAATGTCAAATCGTTCCTTTCTATACGGGTCAGGAACTTGGCCAGTGTATCACGAAAAGGATTTCCAACAGCTTGTTGCAGACTTTCATCAACAGCTACCGAATTCGCTGGCTCCATACTGAAGATTTAACAGCCAGAAAGAATTAGTGACAAGAAACTGTGGGAACAAACCAACCAAGAGCCGATTGCTCAACAAATATGTAGGAGAAAGTGGAGATGGATCGGACATACGTTGAGGAAGCCGTCGAATGACACAGCGCCAGGCCATAACTCGAGTGGAATACAAATTGGAAGTGAAGAGTGGGTTGTCAGTGCGAGGGTGACATGGAGGAGATAGTGTGAGGAAGAGATGAGAGAGTTTGGTCAATCGTGGACCCAGCTGAAGAGGAGGGCAGAAAACAGAACAAAGTGGATATACTCCCTGGTTTTCAATGGTTCTCTAACTGATATCTGTCCGTGATCAACTCGTAAAAACATAACAAACCCTTACAAACCAAACTATAGAAAAAGTGGATATAAGTTGTTGAAGCCCTATTTTCCATTCAGAACCCAAGGGAATAATAATATGAGTAGTATTCATAACATTTATTATGATATTAACCAATAGTTTTAGTAACTTCTAGAATTCATAGTCTTTCACAAGATATTTTACGTTCATTAAGAGAAATAACAACTACCACTTACTTAAATTCTTTGTAAAGGATTTAATAACAAATTTTATATAGTTCAAATTAGACGGAAAAGTGCAATATTATTTCACTAGAATTTTTAGTTTTACTATTGACTTTTATGCCTACAAAAGTTTTAGTCAAAACTAATAAACTCTTTATCTTACTGAATGAACTTTTTTTATTGAATGAACAATTATCGGCTCAGTTAGTAGTTCTTAAGTGCATAATTTTGTAACTATACTGCAATGAGAAAGGGGGAATTCATTGTTAAAAGTTCATTTTTCTGCAGGTATTTTTCACTTGAAATGAAATCACACCCATAAACCGTAACGCGTAATTCTGTTGTGTTATTTGTTTTTTATCATTCCTTTATGTTGCGAGGCTCTAAACGTGAACTTATTAGTTTCAGTAGCTGCGGTGTTTTTTTTACTGGGTGAGGTTGCTTTCCTCACGCTCAACCTTCTGTCTTTACCGAGCTTACTACCGCTCTGACGAGGTTTAAGAGCGCCTCGACTGGGGATCGAACCCTGGGACATCTGAGTGGTTTGGGAGTACTTTACCACTGCACCACCTAGTTAAATTGAAATCTGTTGTACATTCAAAGAGTACGTGGATTACTTCACTGATTCTGATGGTTGAGTATGTTAAGTGGGAAATACCTACATATTTTTTTTTCATTTTTATTAAAGTCTGCTTCTAGTATGATATTCCTTGATATCATCTACCTTAGTTTTCAGATACATTCGTCTATAACAGAAGTGATCATTTACAGGATGATATTTCATCAGGTTTACACGATCTCATTATCACAACTTGAAAGAGTAGACTTGCAACTCGTATAACGAAACCAAGCAGTTACTGTACTCTAAATGTATTGTTGTTATGTACATTCCTCTGTATTCTACACAGAGAATGTTTCAATGAACAGCTATCGGTTGCAAACAGTATGAACAACACACACTATACATAGGCCACATTTTGAGATAACTTCAAATATCGACCTATGATCATTATATTAAAGGCATATTTGACCTGGAAATAAGATGGCGTTGCTGTCGGATGAAAATACCATGTGTGCATACAGTTGTCAGTCATAATCATCTCAGAAAGGCTCAGATCTCTTAAGCATAAACGGAAGGTTTTTGCATTCCTCTCATAATTTTATAATTCCCATTGTAACATTAAGAACACAATATTCAACGTAGGATTGTTCAACGATCGTATGTATATGATTGCACAGCTTAATAATAAATTCGTTGTAAAAAGTCTCTTCGCTGAATATTTTATTCCTGTACATTCCCAGTGGAAAATAGAGCTTCAAGCTAGAGGCTTTATGTTTCGGCGGTGCTTATTTTTACGGGATGGGTTCGCCAGTCTCATGCCCAACCTTCCCTCTTAACCGGTCTTATTACTGGCTTAGAGAGTTAAGGGCATGCGTCTGTCGAAGGTCGAAACCCGAACCGCCAGCGTGGTTGCCGAGCATTCTACCGCTGTGCCATCGACGCACTCTCTTCGCTAAATGTTGTATTCTCAATAGAAGAAAGGATTCATCCATTGAATAAATATCCTTCTGATATGTTAGTCGCTGTGATATTGTAAAAATGGAAGTGACTGACTGTTATCATTTTTATGTTCAGAGTATTTCAAGCTTATTTCCACCGAGTATACTATTCACTGAAGTTTGCAAAACGAGAGGAATATTGTTACCATGCAGGAATTTCGTAGTACTGATAACAATGAAATCTAGTGTAGTTTAAAATTATGATCTTATTGTAACGAATTATTTAAATGTTTAAAAAGATTTGTAAATAAAATGAATTGCTGAAGAAGCACTAGTAGGTCTGTATTCACCGCATAAGGTGAATTACAATCTCTGAACTGAGTGAACCAGTGACATATTTCAGTGTGCTTCATAGAACGGAGGACTATACGTTCATTGAATTCTTCTCAAGCAGTCTCCCAATGATTGTCAAAGAGAATATCCATAATCTAGTTGTTTTTTATACTAATGACTCAAAGGAAAATTATTATTATTATCATTGTAAAATAACTTGCCCCTCGACTTCTGTGCTTACATTTCAGCTCAGTCTCCCAGCATTTTCAAATGGCTTTTGGATCGTTTTCATCAAATCCGCCTTTTTTCACGTCATAATCATACTTCTGTCAGCAATGACAAGGTTGTACAATCTTATGCAGATATGAAATTTACAGGACCAACGAACCAGCAGCGCCCCTATGACAACAACGTGCCTGTGAACCGCCAAACATATAACCAAGAAGTATCTCCCAGCAACCTACGTAGATGCTTTAGTCTGTCAGATGGAGGAAAAACTAACAAACCTAACCAGACCGTAAAACACTGTGGTCAGGGTATGGAATCACAAAGCTTCACAGAAATTGGGAAGGAATGCGACACCAGGGGGTATGTAAGGCAGTCAAGTTATTCAAGCAAAGACTTACATTGTATCTCTCAAAGAGACTTATGTGGAAGCCCTGACTATTATTCCGCTGTTAGTCCACTTTCAAGAAACTACTTTTCAAGTCAAAGTCATCTAGGCAGTAAGTCAGTGCCACGTCTACTGACTTCGTCTCCTGCCTTGGTAAACAACTCGAAAGTTTCTTTACAAGCTAGTGTTACAACTTCTGTGAGAGACAATGATTTTGCAAAAGAAAGGCAGCAGCCACATTATGTATTTGGTAACATCGCACAGTCATGCTTTTTAATACCTTCAAACGGTCAGCAAAACGACAATATTCTTACATCTGACTATTCGCATAAGACACCACCTAGTTCATCGACGCTTTGGTGGTACACAGGATCGAACAGACTAACGCCCTTTTCAAAGGTGCCCACATCACTCTTTTTTAATCCTACTGTTAGAGTATCTTCTTATTGAATTTTTTTACAGACTGACTGATTGGTAATTGTATAGCACCACTGATTTGAAAGTTGTACATATATAGCAGTCCTTTGCATTTAACTAGACGTTAATCTTATCTAACAGCCTACTTGTCTTTCCGAGATTGTAGTACTTTTTAGGAAGTAGTTGCAGTTTTTTCTTGTCATGTGCAAAATTTCTTATCTGTGAAGTACTGGACTTTATAGAAAAAGCTTTTCTTGCCAATACTTTTCTTCTCCGCCAGCCTTATGATTACAAGTTTTTAACTTTTTAATAAAACTATCAATGATACTTTCTTTACAACTCATGAATTTTTTGTCTTCAACCAAGCACCAAGGTTACCATAAGGGAGGGATTGGGTGATACAGTAATGTCAGTGAGCGCTTAATATACCTGAATGAATTCCCAGTCTGCTCATTATGCTATTTTAGCACATCACCTACTGGGTTAAATGAACCTCGACAGTTGAATGTCTCGAAAGCGACCCTGTGTTTCAGAACCAGAAGTTAGACAACTAGCCACAGGTAGGGCGGTCTGAGCCATGTATATATTCTGCAGCTGAATTAAACAGACGCAAACTTAAGCCTCGAAATCGATCAGTTTTGAACAAAGGATAAAGCCTGTAGCAGGACTTTTACTCCCAGTTGTAAAGAAAGCAATATTGTGGGTCATGATAAGAATTTAGTCCTGGATGGATTCAAACTGGACTTGCCTTTGCATTCATTATTAACTCTAAGTAATATGCACGCATGTGTTCTAAATGGTAAGAAAACTGCGATATATGTCAAATGAACAGATTTTTCTTATTTAAACACAATACAGCACTGAGAAGATGCGCTAGACAATAATCATAAGACAACATAGATTAAAAGTTAATTTATATATATATATATATATATATATATATATATATTAAGAACAGATAAAGTACTTCATCTGGAAGGAGAAGTCATATTTAACAAGCTTAAACAGCATTCGGGAAGGGATGAAAATTGCGGCACATTCGCCATTAGCTACGATTCTTGGCTATATCCGATAACGTCTCGAGCTATCTCGCAGACTCCAAACAGGGAGTCGCACATCTTCAGCTTGGATGCAAAGCAAGACTGCGCTCAAGGAAGCATCGTAAACCCGACGTTTGACTGACTGACCTGTTTCAAAATAGAACATTGCACCGATGTGCAGCAGTTCGATTCACCAAATTTCACTCAGCACAAAGAGCCGGAGAAGACGAAAACAGTAAAAAGAAAAACGCTAAACAGGGACAGTAAACAGAGATATGAGGCAAAAAGAATAGTAATATCGAAGAACAATATAGTTTTATTTGGTATTATAAGTCATAAGGAGTGGATGAACCTACGCCACTGACAACGATTTTGAGCCATATCACCAATTGTTTCCAGCCTTCGTTGGTGTTTAACCGTTCCGAGGACCCCAATAAAAAGTCTATATCTTCCTATGTGACTTAAACTAACTGTTGTGAATTTCATGTATTGTTTTGACCACTACTGACCCTATGTCAGCTAACATTGCTCGTCGGTCGAGGAATTGCTAGGCATGCGTAACACATGTCCTAACTATCTCAGTCGATGTAAAATCATAGCCTCGTCTATTGATTTCCCCTCCTTAACTAGTACTCGACCGAGGTCTAACCTCAATATTCCTTACTCTGTTATGTCACTTAACACGGGAGATAGAACTCAAGCGCCTACGACCAAAGACAGCTAGCCAGGCTTTTCATATCTTCCACTCTCAATGGCCAGGTCTCACAGTCATAAAGGAGGACGGAGCGAACTGCTGAGCGGTACACAGGCCCTTCGGTCGACAGCCACACAGATATCACATCTACGCCAGAGATGGCGTAAACTGATATGTGCAAAACGAGCCTTTCTGCATCTGAGCTGAGGTTTTTCCAGCGACCAACCCAATGGGGTTGATGCAACTTCCCAAATAAATGAAGTGGTCAACGCGCTACACCAACCACTTCACTCCTGCCTGTCTTTAAGCTAGGAGTCAGTCAATGTAGTCCAGTCCTGTAGCATCATCTTACATATGGCGGGAGCGAATCGCATACCAAACACTCGTAAATTGCAGCTTAAGGTGTTTAGAAGACTCTACATTTTGTCAGCGTCCTCACCTAGGAAGCAGGCCTATATCATCTGCATATTTTAAGTCAACGAGATTATTTCCTGGTGGTAACAAGTCAAGCCCTGAGTATCTGAAGTGAGTCAGGGTTAAGTCCATCAGTACATCTCTGATGAAATTGAATAGAAATGGGGATAGTGGGCATCCCTGCAGTGCATCAGTAGTTGTCACCACCTCAGATGACAACTCGACGTAAGCTCTCACCTGGCTGACTGCATGAGTTTGAGTGCCTTCATCAGTGCAGTGTATTTTCTCGGCATTTCTTTTACAGCCAAACATCGCCAGAGTACCTCTTGGTCGACATAATCGAATGATGCCTATGGGACAAGAAATATGACGATTGTTGGACGCCTACGGTAAGTATTCCTATGTTCCATAATCTGTCGAAGGGTGAAGATATGATACGACGCTTGGCAGCCAGGCTAACGTCGCCAGAGGTGGCTCAAGTTGACATATGCCACCCTAGCCTTCACTATACGGTTGGGAATCTCATCCGTCACCCCTCCGCCAGCACTCACACAACTACCCAGATACACAAACTTATCAACAACTTCAAGCGGTTCACCTGCAACAGTGAGTGCAATTACAGGCTCCTGCCAACCTTGTAACAGCACTTTGCACTTAGACGGCGCAAAACACATACCATATCACCAACTGATTGAGTGCGATTTGGGCAGCCTGCATGCTGTCGCACAGTAACACGATATCGTCTGCATACTCGGGGTTGAAATGTCTATCTCCAGGTTTCAGATCAACAACACCCTCACGCGCGTCTTTCAGAGCTGACTCCAGAATGTTATCGATGGCAAAGTTAAAGATAAATGGAGAGATCGGGCAACCCTGTCAAACCCCCCTGTTGTTTAGGAACAGTGATGATAGTTGGTTGTATGCCCTCACTCTACCTGAGGTGCTTTTGTACAGGGCTTTCAGGAAGTTCAAAAGTGAACAGCATCATATATCGATTATCTGAATATAACAAATTCTCCTAGTTGACCAATCGAAGCCAGTAAACTCCGTATTACGTATTCCTAGACTAAATGAACCATACTAAATGTCAACACTCCCTCGACATGTAGGACGTAGGATATAATTAATTACAGTCTGTTTTATTAGTTGAAAACTAAGATAGTTGTTCTTTATATTGGTGAATTCAAACCATAATAACAGTAAAAACAACATGGGTTACTGGTCTTCTTCTTCAAGGTTTATGTGATTTCCAAATTTACCATACAGTTCTTTTCTTAAACTGTCCATGTGCACTTTACATTCACTAATCCGTTCTTCCAGGTCTAACATCCGTACTTTGACTTTTTCTTTAGTTGCTTTAAGTTCTTCTCCAATCTCATCACTAGACAAATGGAAAAATGTATCGCCGATAGCATATCTTTTTAATAGTTAAGGTAACTAACTGACCTCATGACACATTTCTAATGGTGAAATAAAAAAAAACACCGCACAAATAAATAGCTCATACAATCCAGCAATGTTTTGGGGACTCGATGTTTTGTATTTTGTTCTCATATGTCTGGGAATGATGTCAAAACAAGCATTTTATGTTATAAATCAGTTACTCTAGGGAAGTTGACTATCATTTGAATCAGTAACGTTAGAATATATACATATGCTAAAGAGATGAAAGGGAGTAAGTTTTTTCATCATAAATGACACTTATTAGAATGAAACGCACCTAAATTGGTAGCTTATAATGAAATGGAAAGGGCAAATATGGAACATTTTTGGTAACTAGCACCGATACATCATGGGAAAATTTATAGTGATTATGATCCCGATAAGATAAACAATACAACATTACAATTTGGAGTTTTTAATGTAAAACTTATCAAACAAATGAAGAAGTAAAATTTGCGACATCAGCACACAAAGGCAGATAACAGATGCGAAGGTATTTAAATGAAGGTACTAATTCAAGAGAAAGAATACTTACAAGGAAAGTCATGAGAACTTAACGGAAGTAGGAGATTGCGAAGAGTGGACGTATCTGCAGCACACAGGCCGCAAGGAACTGCTGCGCTGTTAGTCATATATCACACCTACTTTCAGTCCGAGACACCCTCTCAAACTTCTATTTTGGTAGTACCTCCGGTATGCAAGCCACATCACACTAAGATGACAACTATATGTATATTACTAACATACGGTTTTGAACACACATATATAGATATTTGCATATATATATATACATATATATATATATATATATATATGCAACTCAACAAATTGTCAGAGTGGTCCATAGAATGGATGCTCCCGATAAGTGTGGCAAAGTGTGCAACCATGCGCATTGGACAAGCAAGCACGAGCTCTTATGAACTAGAGGGAATTACACTTCCATCAGTTCAGACTCACTTGGACTTAGGTGTCATAGTTAGTCACGACTTAAAAACTACAGCACACTGTCGCGCGGTGGCTGCACGTAGTTTCAGGTCATTATGGGCAATTCGTAGAGCCTTCACTAGAATCACCAGAGATATGTTCACCTCCTTATATACATCTCTGGTGAGGTCAAGACTGGAATACTGCATCCAAGCCGCCAGCCCTTGTCTAAAAGGGGACTCACTTATTCTAGAAAGGGTTCAAAGGAAAGCAACACGTATGATTCATGGCATGACTAACTTATCATACGAGGAAAGACTAGACAGCTTAAATCTCTTCTCCTTGTTATACCGTAGGCAGAGAGGAGATTTAATCACAATCTTTAAAATTTTAAATAATGACTACGGACCTGACCTATTCTCTCTTTTCCTTCCCACCAGGTCGGAACACCTTAGAGGACATAGCAGGAGAGTTCAAAAGCCAAGAAGAAATCATATTGCTGCTGAGTACTGGTTCTCACACCGAGTCATAAACTCTTGGAACCGACTCCCAAAAGAAGTGGTGTCTGCAACCTCAGCTGATTCGTTCAAGAAGGGTTTGGACAACCACAGAAATTTACTAGAAAGGGATTAACATAGGCTCCAAGCCTTCTATCCTCAACCAATAAATCTGAATCTGAATATATATTTCCGCCTTTGCTGAAACACTCAATTTCTAATTCACCAATCCAAGCTACATTCAGAAGTTTTATAAAGGATTTATGTATCACCTTCAACAGTTAGTGTTGGTTGATACAACGTTTGATTCCACCTTATTACACAAATACCCGTGATATTTGTAAAGGAATCCATCTATTGCCATCAGTGGAATTTGTTAGTCTATTAGTGGCTCATTAGCTGCTGATTTAACCCTTGAAAATTGTCATACTCCCCATGTTGTTAGATTTGGTACACACAAATCCTAACATGGTCTATCACGAAGTGTCAATGCTAGTTTTAAACAGCAATCTTTGAAGTACTTCCTTTAAGAGGTCATACAAACCGAAATACTGAACTGACGGTCTAAAAAATGGAATAGGTATTACTTCATTTAGTTAAGAAACATGCTGAAAAAGGATACGGATGAGTATTTTCATCTAAGACAATCAACTCGTCTTCTGCATCATTGATGTTAGCTAGTTCCTTCTAAAAACAATGACAAGCTACAAATAAGTGCGCAAACCTTGAATTTCTCATATTCTGATAAGAAACCTTTGAATTTTAAATTCCAAGTAGCAAAGCTATTAATCCTTTGCTGATCTGCATGAGTAACTTCGATATCTTCCTGAGAAAATAATTTAAAAATGAAATCCTAGTTACAGCCATGTAGAGTTAAGCGGGCGAGACAGACGGCCTTGACAGTTGAATACCGCATCAGCATTGAATCACGAATATGGATATTGTTTATGTTCAAAGAGCGACTTTATTGCATATGCCCTCAATGACGCTTGTCGCTATGTTGCTATTGGCTTCAAGTGGCCTTGGTTTTGGGGGAAGATTTAACTGATGTAATATTGTGATTTCATATACATAACTCAGGCTCATACGTGAAAGGAAGTTATTATCCTGTAATAAGGATAAGTTGTTCAGAAGGTAAGGAGGACGTTATTTTTCAGTTTATTTGTGTATATACTATTGTGCACCAAGTTGCATTGAGTTCTTATTGCAACTGTATGTAACTGCATTTACATAAAGTGAAACATTACGAATGCTCCTGTTTCTAGAATAAAAGACATTATTATTATCATTAAGTTTAGTAATGAAGAATGGAATTTCTTTAACGTCGATGTTGTTTAATTTAAGTTGTAGTCTGTGTAGGCCCTTGGAGGAATAAATTCGGCATGGAGAACTCCTATGTAAACCGAAAGTGCTTTAAGTTTAGTAAATCTAACTGACTTCCTGTATAAATTTGATATTTGTCAGGTGTTTATTTAAAATCTGCTGGAGTATTCATTAAAGTAAAAGTTGTAGTGCATAATTCCAAGACTTGTTGTAGTCATTGGTATTGCCAGGATACCACTTACTCGTTTTATGCAACCGAAATAAACAAATATCGCTTTATTGAGGAAACACTGTAATGCCTGCAAAAGTATTGCGTCAGTTAATGAGTTTCATAAATTCTACAGAATGTTTTCTATTCAGTGATTACTGTTTGTGAATTATCCGAGAAAACACATTTGCAGTTGGGATGTAACGCGAGGCTGAATTCTTAAACTGTCATACTTATATCATTTCAATGCAATCACACATATATCAGAATAATAGTCTATAAATGACTTTAGAGACTTATCATCATCAACTTACAGTTTGCTGATGATACTATACACCTAAACTATGAGAAGTAAACCCTGATACTGGAAGATATGAAAAGAATACCGGTGTTTGATTATAGGTGTCTGTGTTCTATCTCATGAGTAAAGCAGTATAATATGGCGATTGCTGTTGAGGTTACGAATAAAGTGTTAGTTGAGGAGGGTAAGTTAGTCTTCAAGGTAGGGAAGCTGAATAGGTTGAAATGGCTATAACGCGTGATTGCATACCAAGCCATCGCCTTCCTCGAGGGATAATTTTAGCCAGCACATGTCAAGGTTCCAAATGTGTTTGGGTCGGTCGAATGAGAAACTGCTATTGGTTCATAAAATCGTTGACAGTCAGCTAGAAGAACTACTAGATATATGTCTGCAAGTCTTTGTTTATGGCACAGATGCATTGACTCTGTGTAATCTCACGTATCTATTCAACTCATGTTATCACTATTTATTTTCCCTCAAATTTTCGCTCGTTAAACTTCCATTTAATTTTATGTCTCTACCTTTGTGTGGTGCATGGAATGTGGTAAACTAAACAGTTGAACTTCTTTGCGAAGTCATACCGAAAGCCAGGCAGAATGACACAGGCTAGGCATAACTAAATGCGAAACACTGAATAAGGATCTCCAGAATGTCAACAAATGATAATTGCAGTTCTTAATCTTCTTCTTTGCTAAATGACAAATAAATACCTTTCAGTAACCTCTTCATCCACCCGGGATTCATCTCCTACTTTGCAAGTGTTTTTGTGCTTTATCACTTTTGTGCTAAGCTTTATAATAATAATACTTTATATTTTCATATAAACATAAACTTACATGAAAATGCATGCCAATTTTACAGGCACGATCAAGTATGAAATAATGTCAAATAGTAGATTGTCTACAAGTTAATAATGTTTGAACAGCTAAATATTTGATATATATAAATACAATCATTTTCTGACCCAGGTCGTATCATTATTGAATTGAACAGTAGTCCTCCAGGTTCCGCAGGAAAATCGACTTCGTTTCCTTTTCAACCCGTAGTTGTAGGCATACGATAACCAACCAATATTGAGGTAAGTACAACGTTTGCAACGGATAGTAAGATTATCACTTTTTTTAAAGGTTGAAATTGTTGAATTATATAGTACAAGCAATCGGAACAGATTCTTATTATTGTTAATTTGTAAATCTTTCACGAAGGTTTCCATCGAAGTTGAGCGAGACAACCCAAACTTCGTTCCATTTCCTGATGATGATAGTAATGGCCAATCGATAAACGATATATAAATGATTGAGTACTGTGACCCCACTTGCTTGAACGCTCTTTCAGGAAGAGGAGAAAATCCTGCACAGCTACAAAGTGGTATAAAATGCAATCATGAATAATACATTATTGGAAGTATGTTTACAAGAAAAATACAAGAATAAGCTATACAGTACTTGATATGATAGTGCACATTCGCAATGTATGATGCTAACCATATTGGTCTTACCGTAGAAAACTATGACGTTTTCTATGAAAATAAAGTTATTCTCAAAAACATGAGTGCTGTTGTTATGTTTTTTTAATTTTTTATACCATCAGAGCAACCGAACTTCATGTGAGAGAAGAGTGTGAATGAGAAAAAAGAAAAACAAAAGAGTAAATTTCAGCTTTACTAAAATCCTGGGAAGTTGAGATAAGATAGAGTATAATAGTAATTAGGTAGAAGGATTATCGTGAAGTATATAAGTGACATTTCAGAGAGAAGTGTCTAGAAGGATTAGAACGTGTTGGATAAGGTGACCTGTATGGTGTCTGGCGAACTTGTGTATGGCCCGTGGGGTAGCATTTTGACAAGAAACTGACCAGGCTTGTAGATGTTAGGAGCGAAAGCATTATTTTTTTACAAGCTAAAGCTGTGCAGTCATTATTGTTTCACTTTTTAAATTTTTTAAAGTCTAATTATTTAAAATGTTTTTATACATTCAGTATCTCAACTCATGTTTAACTCTCGAGCTGCCAAGATAATGCATGTTGCTGTCCTACACATCGGAGCGATTCACATTTGTGACTACTACCAAATCTGCTGATCAGCATGCACCACCCTCCCTCCTTTCTTGACATTAAGCTCTGAGACCTTTTACAATGACTGCAGTTGTAATATTGGATTGCTTTGAATCCGTCCCAATCATACAGTATGCTGCACATTAACAGCTTTCATGACAAGTGCCTCCCATTAGGTCACATGGCAAATTAATACCAGAGGACATTGTTAGCAGTATTATCATCATACTTGTGAACAAGTGGGTTACTACGAAATACTAAAAAAATAGGTTTCCCTTAAGAGTTATGAAGTATAAAAATAGCTAATATTAGAGCAACTAAGTTATATTCTATTTAGCAGAGTGATATGAGTAGTGGAACAATTAGTGATAAAGTTATGTAAAGTGGTCCTGAGTAAGGCAAATGGTTAGCCGGTTAACAGAGCTAGTTATGCTAAATTTTCATGACCGATTTTCATACGGTGCGCATTAGATATTGCAGAGTAACCCTTCAACTTATATAATGTTAAAAATACTGCGAAATATTATAAAGATTATACGTTTTAGGAAGGTGTATGAGAACCTTCCTCACGCTAAGAAAATACCCGCAAGCAGTAGAAATCCATTAATTAATGCGTCTGAAGCTTATGTACTTACTCCCAACAATGACATTGCAGATCAAATGAGATAAACACATCACTGATTTCAAAATAACACATCAATGAACTATAATTCGAGGACTCTGCACACAACAAAGTTATGTATGAATATTTACTTCAAGCTTTATTTTTTTCCCAGGCACTTATAATCCATCCACCAAAGACCTGGTTTTTTGTTAATGCGAAGACAATACTCCTGTATTTCCTGTTGTGTTGCACTCACTGACAATCTAGCAGATTTTTCCAACTTTGCACAGAAATGATTGTGTATTAGTGAAAAGGCTGTTTTATACTACTGGAATTAACATTTATCAAGTGCATGTATAATCTCCAGCGAACATGTAAAGCATATCTTGCTACTGCCTGTAAATTGTGATTGAATTATATGTTTCTATTTCTGTAACAATTTGATGATGCCTGTAAACTGGCGTCCCTCATGTACTGTACTATGAGAATAAATTTATTTATTTATTTATTTAAAAGGTGGTTATTGGCTGAGTAAAGTCATTCAGACACAAAAGATAGCATTGTATTATTATCTGTATATACATACGTGTGCGTCGGTGGCACGGTGGTTAGGACTCTCGCCGACCATGCACATGGTCCGAGGTTCGATCCCCTGCCGACGCACACCTGATATCTATGGTCGGCCTACAAAATTTGGGCTACCGATATCGCATGCTGAGAATTCCATACTTGTACCAAAAGTACTGTGTGGTTTCAAGCTATAACCAAAAAAAATAAAAAAATATGTAAAATATTAAAAGGTGTGGTTGCTAATATAATTGTTTCTAGAAGTACTTATATTAACATAACTTATTGAAGACTATACAGAAAGGAAAATCAGTAAATTAGTTAAACGTTCGCTGCTCAAGCAGTAGAGTCGAGTTATATGTAACTGACTGAGCTGAAGACTGGACCGGCTTTTACTTACCATTTTACCAACATTTGTGGTCTTTTAGACAAGCTAGGGTGGACATGTTAATGTGTCTCTCTAGGCTCCGTTTGAACCCATTGGGGTTTTCACGACATCTAATTCCAGATGGTAGTTGGTTCCAAATAGTGCAATATTTAATGGTGAAAAAGTTTGCCCTAATGGATTTTCTGTGGGTAGCCACCTTGACAAGGTAGTTGTGGTTTCGCAGCCGATATGGTTTAATATTTTCCCACGTCATGGATGAGTAACTATAACAGTGTTTTCTTATGACATTGAATAGTAGAAATAAGTTGCACTTCATTCTCCTTAACCACAGAGGTTCTAAATTCAGACGCATACACCTGACAACATATTCCACTGGTTGCCGTATCCTAAGTATTGCAGTTATTTTCTCATTTCCTTGCACTGT